AAATGAGAGATGTTTTTGTATAAACATAGCGCGATTGTGCTTGTGATTTTACTTTCATAATTTTATCATTGTTTTCATAAAGACTTTTGTTATACGACTTGTTTGTGTTTAATGTTTTGTCCCCATCGTTTTGGTGGTAATGCTGGGTATTTTCTGGGTATACATTCATTGCCTATCAGTTAATAATAAAACATAACTGAATGCTCAACAGTCCTGGGTGGCCGATACGCAGAAATACTCAACACGGCCCAATAGTGTGGTTCGAACCCGAATACCCGAATCATGTTCATCATTGTATCATTGTTTTTCGGAAGGGGGGGGGGGGGGGCAGAAAATTCGTAGCGTAGCGAGGGGGGGGGACACATGTCCCCGGGCCCCGACCTTAGGGGGCGCCAAAATGGGTTGGAAATATAAATTGAAAGGGTGAAGGGGGGGGGTGCAAATAAAAATCTTGAGGGGGGGGGGCGCAAATCGAAAAGTTTGTCGCTATGCCTCGGGGGGGGGGGGGGTGTGGAGGCGGTCTACATTTTCCGGGGGGTGGGCGGACACTAGTAAAAGTATATGTATATGTGTATGCAGGGGCGTAGCGAGGGGGGGGGGCGGGGGGTGCGGACCGCACCGGGTGACACCATTTAGGGGGGTGACACCAAGGCAAAAAATAGCAAAATATGTAGAGAAAAACTCGAGGGGGGGGGGTGTGCAAATCGAAAACTTGAGGGGGAGGGGGGCAAATCGAAAGTTTGAGGGGGGGGGGGTGCAAATCGAAAACTTGAGGGGGGGGGGGTGTGCAAATCGAAAGTTTGAGGGGGGGGGGGAGTGGCAAATCGAAAACTTGAAAGTTTGTCCCTGGGAAGGGTCTCTATGCCTCTAGGGGGGTGACACCATTAAGTGCCGCACCGGGTGACACCCGACATCACTACGCCACTGTGTGTATGTATGTATATGTAGGAGGGGGGGGGGTTGCGGTAGACTATTTCCGTGGGGGGGGGGGGGGGGGCGAAGAGAGCCTTGAAGAAACTGATGTTCACCTACTCAACATTGAGTATTTTCAAAGCACCCCTTCACATTAATAAGTACTGTTTCTGATCCAAAGGCTAATAGTGTAGATAAAGTAGAGTATATTTTGTTTCTGTGGTCATCATGTGTAGTCGGCTCTACATGTCCATAATCCAGCGAGTATAAGCTGAGTGCACTTATATAGGCCTACAGACTTAAGTCCCATGCCCTAATGCTATAGCCAATGCTTCCATACTACTGTCAATTAGCTCTATGTAGCCTAATCGTGCCCTCTTCTGTTTGACCAAAGTCGCATGACAGGCTAGCCCACCTTAAATATGCTACACAACTTTCATAATTCTCATGCGTCAGTAATGACCTAACCTGTAATAAAAATAAATTGCTTATCTAAAACATGTCACAGAAAGATATAAATATTTTTTTAGGAAATTTATTATGAAAAAAAAAACATGTTCGATTTTTAATGTTGGGTTTTTTTAAAAAAAAATTACATACAATCCATCTCCACGAATCTCTCAGTCAGTAAAAGTTTATTTTTATTTGTGGATAAAAATAGGCGTTTTATTCCAACATATCGTTAACATTTCAGAAACAAGTATGTCTTTGAGTACTGCGCTTTTTATCCAATCACTGAAGCCCCAGACACGGTTGTTGTGACGTTAGGGTCCACCGCACATTTCCCGTACACGGAGGGAAATGCGCCCAGGATGTTAGCCCTGCAGTAAAGTCCGTCTGCGCATGGCATTCGGACTCCGTCTCCCTAGTCGTGCAGTTGTCGTCCAGCTTGCCGATCTTCTTGCAGTAGACGTAGGACGCCAGGAACTCGTCACGGACACAACAGTAGCCGGTGGGGCAGACGTCGAACCGGTGACGGATGGTGGGACACAGTCCATCTCTATTTGGTCCGGCTGGGGGGTAAAGAGTTAATCAATGCAGTGATGATATAATAACCAGGAATGAGCTTCTTCGAAAATGCTAATATAAACAAATACAGGCCATCCAGGTTTTTTCTTAATGATAATTTTAATGAACAAAAAGGACAAACAGACCCCCATAGTAATTTCTATGAACAAACTGCGACTATAGTTTTTTAATAGTGATTTCAAGCATAATTAAACACATGCGCCTAACCTATTTACTTAGATAACTATTTTTCAAATAAACTATTAGCAGAGGCTTAAGCGAGGGGGGGGGGGGACATATGTCCCCGGGCGCCGACCTTAGGGGGGGGCCGCCAAATTGAAAGTTTGAGGTGGGGGGTGCAAATGAAAAGTTCGAGGGGGGGGGGGGTGCAAATCGAAAGTTTGAGGGGGGGGGGGGGTGCAAATAAAAAGTTCGAATGAGGGGGGTGCAAATCGAAAATTTGAGGGGGGGGGGAGAAATGAAAAGTTCGACGGGGGGGGGTGCAAATCGAAAGTTTGTCCCCGGGCGCCGGGAAGGGTCGCTACGCCTCTGACTATTAGCGATTTAAATTCTAATTTCTACTTCTTACAAAGAGCTTAGAATTGAACATTATGAATAGCTTAGAGGAAAATTAATATTAGCAAAGGTTATTGTAGCTACAACTCTCGCAATCTTTTACTTACATTCAGGTTTCTAATATAAATGTTATAATTAAAATTAGGATAAAGTTGGCAAACAAGAGATGGACGAAACCGTGCAAGGGGGTCATCCATAAATGACGTCACACGTTTTTGGACGATTTTTACCTTCTCCCTCCCCTCCGTCACACATCGTCATACAAAGAGAGAACCCCCCTAATATGACGTCACATCGCAGCTTACACCCCCCCCCCCTCTAAAAATTGCAGTTGAATTTTAATTAAAACATCGACATTTTTCCAAAATCTTGTCTGAACCCTGTCAACATAGAGTATTTTGATCAATTCCTGTTACAAGTTATTAAAACAGTTTTCTAAAACGCGAAATAATGGCTAAAACTCGTTTCCTAACATTGCATTTTTATAATGCAAAAGTGTGACGTCACACCATCTGAACACCCCTCCTCCCAATCCTCTATATCACACCCCGTCACAAAATTACGGACCCCCTCCCACTACGAGTGTGACGCCATTTATGGACGACCCCCAAGTCCAAACTTCGTTATATTGAAAACATTAGCCCATTATTTTTTTTTAATTTAAAAACTTATACATGGGGATTGTTTAATTCAGAATTAAATATAGGCCTGTGCTTAGCTCAATTTAAAAAAAAAAAACTTAATTAAGATAGTCAAATGCAATTTTCTGAAGTACTCACCCCATCAACTGACCAGGTGAGCTGTAACATGCCGCATACGAGGAGAAAAACCAAAGGGCCGTTAGCAGACGACATCTTCAACCAGCAGCTCAGTTTTCACAAGTCAAATGTATTTATAAACCTGGTCAAGACTTCTTATCTCAATGTCGACTCGACCTCTCGTCTGACTCGAGAGCCAGACATTTATTATTTTTAACAGCTCTCTTGTTTTGATGGTATACTGATGTTAAAACACTGGTTTTTCTTGCATGAAATCGTCTTTTTAATTTTAATTATTTATTGCTAGGTCTAATTGTTTTAGATATATGCCTACAAACTTTTTTTAAAAACTTTAACACCGCGAATTCGAAATATTTAAAGGGTTATATAAACCCTATAAAACACTGTTGATTTTATATTAAATGGCAGTGAGAAAAAATACATGGTAATGTTTAAAATTAAAGCTTATAGTTCTAAAACGTTTTTTTTAACTTGCCAAAATAGAAGGAGCGAGCAAAAAAAAATACAATGTTTTGTCTGTAATATCTTATCAGTGGTGCATTTGTGGATTTCTTAGTTCATTACCACATCTGTTCATATTCACATTACATGGTTAAAGATAAGTGTTCGGGGAATATGTGACCCCATTGAAAGTAGTTCCAGTTTTAATGGGATCGTCCGATTGTCTAATGCCACTGTTTAGCAGAACTAATCAAGAAAGTAGTGCCATCATCATAATTGTGCGACTGCTGTATGAAAAGGTAAAATGGTCACGAAAGTAGTTCTTGGTGCTCATTTTGTGTGATTCCGCTCTTAATTAAAACTAGTAGTTAAAAATAGTACCGTAATTTGACAAGAAATTATTGCGTAGTGTTTGTAGAGCGAACAGTTTGGTAAGAAACTAATGACACCAGAAAGAAAAGAAAGTTGCTGAATGTTGGTGGCTATGTTAACCAGCGAAAAAAAAGAAACTCTTTAAAATAAATAAATCTAGTTATTAACATACAGATATTTTAAAGTAAAAAAAAATGTTTCCAGATCATAATATTTTAGGAATGGTGTTTCGTTTAAAGCAGAAAAATTGGCAATTTTAATCATAAAAGTTTCTATGCCAAACATCATTCACGTGTTGAATGAAATACAGCATGAAAGCTTAGGGGTCGGCGTTTGCAGTACAGCAACGCAAAGTCCCAAGTTCGATCTCTCGAGACAGCAACCAATCTAGCAGGAAACTCCAAAAAAAAAAAAAAACAAAAAAAAAAAAACAACTTCGTATTAGTATTACAATTTTCATCATCGTTTTGCGAGTACTGATACAAATTTTAAAACAGTATTAACCTTTTTGACATTGGCAATGATTTATTTATACATAATATAAACTGTCTAATTAAAATTTTTAAAACATGAAAATATAAAAAATTAACTAATTGGTAATTTGAAGCTCTGTGAAGAGTTGCTAGGGGGCTAAAGATTTGTGGAAGTTGATACTGAAATACAAATAGACGTGCAATTTTGGAGGTGGGGGTTATAGGTTATGGCAGGGGTCGGCAACTTTTAGAGCCGGAAGAGCCAAAAGTTACAATTTACATAAGTTCCCAGTTTTTTAAGAGCCACTAACATTTTTATTTCAATATAATTTTGGTATTTGATTAGGAATAGATATATACTTTTGAATTTTGATTTGAAATAAATACCTTTAAATATGAAATAATATTTATAGGGCCTACTTAAAAAGCATACTAATATTTCACACAAAAAATATTAAAGTATTTTACCTAGCTCTGCTATGATAAAATTAGTAATCAAATAATATAATTATACGACTAACCCAATCCACTTTAGAAGCCAATAACTTTTTCTTTCTTTCTTTACGGAGATCACCGGCTCAGGAGGTGTCTCCCATAGCCCGGCAGCCCTAGACACGGTCAACTCCGACTACTGGCTTGGGTATTGGTCGCTTCTGTCTTCGGTTCTCACCGGGCTTATCTTACTACCCACTGAACGCAGGAAACTCGTACCCCACCGGCTCAACCGTAGGAAGCTAATAACTTAAAAAAAAAACACGTCACTCTGGTCAAATTAATGCGTACTGACCGATAGAGGAATGCATTCCTCATTTAACGATATTCGAAAAAGTCGAAGTGGCAAGAATGGAACCTTCGCCCCGGGGCTGGCTACAGCGCGGTTATGGTGCTGGGTCTGGTGCCCAAGCGACTGTCAGCTGTCCGTATCCTTTCTGCCTCCTCTACTCTTATTGTTCTCTGATGAGTGTTTTTATCATTTTTAAAGTTGCTTTTCTTTATAATAGTTTTAATGACTTGAAAATAATATAAAATAATTATCAATATTTGTGCGTGAAACTAAAGAGCCGCATGCCGCTCGCGAGCAGCAGGTTACCGACCCCTGGATAATGAGATTTTACTTACGACAGTAGCACGAATCTATATCAAATTTGACAAAAAAATAATTTATTTGAAAAAGCCCAATGGGAACTCTCATTACTGTTACTAATGAATAATTTTCCTCCTAATCTACAAATTAAGTGTTTACTACAGTTAATGATTATAACTTTAGGCTAGACGATAATTCTAAGCATATAAGAAATGTAACAATAGCCTGGTTTTTTAAAACTTATATGACCATTTAAATTTTAAGTATAATAAAAATAAATAATTACCACACTTTTAAAATATATACTGTTGAAATTCCATATATTCTTACGTCTTTTGAGAAGATAAATGTAGGTTGTTTCCCTTTAACTTTTAGCAAACCACCGCCCCTATCTTTGCTGAACAAATTATAGCTTGAAAATAATAACCAGTATGAAAATATGTTTATTTATTCTCTCTTACAATTCAGTGTAAAATCAGTCCAAAAAATACATATACTTCTTAAAAAGCATACTTTTCATTTAATGCAAAAAAAAAAAAAAAAACAAATAAAATAAATTAGAAAATATAAGAAACTTGCTTGTAAAAACGTTGGTTGTCATGAAATCAGAGTTTAACGGCCGATTGCTCTTTTTTTTTTAACTAAAGCAAGTTGCTTTAATTTTGTTTTGGATTTGATTTTATAACGTTTTTTAAATATTTTCTTTTGACTTTTTATTCTTTTAGAATAGGCCTACACTTTTAAAATAGAAATTCAACCTTCAAATTTTTAGAGACAACTAGAACCATATTTATCCCTTCTATTCCGTTCGTTTTTAATTGAAAAAAAACAACAACTCGGTTTGCAGCTATTCTTTACATACTCATTATGCAACATTCATGAACATACGCTGATCTTGTAAAGAACGTCTACCGGATAGACGTCTTCGTTTATCTTCATTATTTAAAAAAATCTGTTTTAATGAATAAAAATAATTAAAAAACGTTTTAAAAACAAGATTTTGTATAATTATGCTCTAAAATGAAAAAAAAAATGTTTTCGTTAAATATATAATAATGCACCACTGTTTAAATAACTAGAAAGAAAAGCGTAGATCGTTTCGTGAATTTTAGTAGATAACACGGTGACCCACGCTTTCCTTATATTATAAAAGTGGTGCATTAATATATATTCAAAGCAAATAATTTTTTAAACTATTAATGCATACTTATTTAAATTTTGTTATTTATTTAATGAAGGTTTCAATACTTAATACAGTAGAGCTGCATGACTAAAATCATTGCGTATAAATTGAGAACGAAAAATGGGCGCTTTTATTAGGCGCGCAATTAAGTCAAATCTGATGCCAGATTTCATTGACATCGGGTCTTGACCTACGTGCTAAGTTTGAAACGAATCGGTCCGTTAGAAGTGGTCGAAATTTCGCTAGATATCCAAGAAGGGCAAAGTCAAAAGCACGACAAAAGCACCAGGAAGCAAGTTAAATAAAAGCTTGTAAAAAGATAACAAAGTGCGACAGTCCTGAAAATGCTCATAGTGTGAGTAGCAGCCCCCACCCCCATTGCCCCCTTCCTGGCTTTACCTCTGGTGAGAATGTGCAACATCTTAACCTGGACTATCTTCAGTATTATCCTCTCTCACTTCCTTTCTGCTCTGGCATTGTCACAGGAAGTGTGAAGTATACTTGTTATTTATGTTTAAAATATGATTCTTTTTATGAACTCAAACGATTCAAGGCGTGTAATTGATTTATTAAAAAAAACAAAAACAACTACAACATAATGTACAGGCCTAACAAATTCAATAGTACAAAATTTTGATGTACAAGTCCAACGAAACAGTATCGTATTTTCATATTATATTGTGAAAAGTTTTATTTTAAGAAGTTTTTAGGTTCATTTTAAGTATGCCGTTTAAAAACACCTGTTTCTGAAACTATGTTTTTTGTTGGGTGGGTACTAGGGCACTGAACGCTTAAAACCTATAAAATTCGAAACACACCTACACAAACCAAAATATATATATAAAAAATTAACGAAATATAACAAACCAGAAAAAACATAAAAAGATAACAAAACGTAATATAATAATAAAATAACAAAATATTACAAAACATAACAAAACATTACAAAAAAAGCCAAAAAAAAACCCCCACCCCCCTTCCAAAACAAGAACACACAAGCACAGCAAAAACACAGCACAACAAACCAAGAGAACACAAACGCATCAGCTTTAGATCTCTTCTTCCTCGTCAGGTTTCCCATTGTCTATCTTGATAAAAGGTTTGCTGTCGTCAGGCTCGCCATTGCTGACAGCCGAGAGTTTCTTGAAGTTGGCCTTCAACTCGATAGTCACCCTCTGCTCACCCTCGTCGTTGACGTCACGCGTGTACACTGACACGTAGCGACCCCTGACCTTGACGCTGAGGCATGCGCAGTGACGTCTACGCTTCCATATCAGAATGGCGCAGACGAAAATGAGAGGGGTGCAGACGCAAACTAAAATCAAAGCTTCGACCGCCTCCGTGGGGTACACACGGGATAGCTCTTCCGGTTTTAAGTTTTTAATGTCCTGACCTCTGAGGTTGATTGGTTCTTGGCAGCTGTGTGATAAAAATAGAATCCATATTGTAAGTTGATTTAGCGTTATGAAAATAATAGAATACAGTAATCTTAAAGTTGTAAAGTTCATTTTTAAGTCTATAGTTTTATTTAGTCGTAGTATTCAAAAAAGCATAGCTCAAATGGAGAAATGAAACTAGAACACAGAATCAACAATTTTTGTTTTCATCAAATGATGGCATTAGAGTATCTACACTTCTGGATTTTGGATTTACCCATCAACCCTGAACGTAGCCCTTTCCCCTAACTACAATCTGGTACCTTCCAGAGATTAGATTCAGCTTGATCTGATTGTCCGACGATTGTTTAAGTAAGTAAAGTTTCCCTTTCAAACCTGACGGTCTATGGGGCAAGTGAAGTAGATTTCACTTGTTTCTGTGACCTCGGCATATGAAGAGATAGTGTGGTCAGCACTATGCCCCGCCGCCTTTAGTTTCCCTAACTTGAGTTAGGTACCCATCAGAGTTGGGTGGACTCAGGGACGGTCTACTGACTTGAACCCGGATTCGAACTCGAGACTTACGATTGTTTAAGTAGCGATCTAATATATAACCCACTCACATTGTATCTCCTTGTATTGCAGTGGCTTTGATCATCCACTCCAGTGCGTCATCGCAGTAAAAGGGATTTCCCGATAGCCGCAAACTTTTCAACTGTTTCCAAGGGAGAATATCACGTGACAGCGTGTTAATGGCGTTGTTCTCCATGGCAACCTCTCGCAACGAGGACGGGTGGTTCCCAAAAACAAAAGGATGGATTTTCTTGAGACGCTGTTGTAGAACATAGAGGTTTGTTAGGGTCAATAAATAATTAATGTGGTCTATTTTGCTATGATAAAAATGGAATTCGTGTTTCAATATATATATATATATATATATATATATATATATATATATATATATATATATATATAATGTCATAATTTACGTTAAGAGATATAAGTCGCTTCTGTTACAGCATTAGGTTATAAATCGGACACAAGAAATTACTGCAACAAAGCACTACGACAAACAGGCAAGGTTTGTGAATAGGGGAAAAAATATAAAGTTAAATGACCGATTATTTTTTAGTTGAAGGTAGAGGAAAGCAGAGTTTCTTCCAGGCATCTCTTCGGGTGGGGGGGGGGGGGGGCGCTCCACGCCGAAGAAAGTCTACCGCCCCCCGAACGAAATGGAATTTATGTAGAAAACATATACTTTTATCAGAGGCGTAGCGAGGGGGGGCATATGCCCCCGAGCGCCGACCTTAGGGGGCGCCAAAATGGGTTGGAAAAGTAAATTGAAAGTTTGAGGGGGGAGTGCAAAAATCGAAATCTTGAGAGGGGTGCAAATCGAAAGTTCGAGGGGGGGGGGGGGTGCAAATCGAAAGCTTGAGGGAGGGGGTGCATATCGAAAGTTTGTCCCCGGGCGCCGGGAAGGGTCGCTACGCCTCTGACTTTTACCAGTGTCCGCCTCCCCGGAAAATGTTGACCGCCGCCCCCCCCCCCCCGAAAATATCAAGTGCCCCCCCCCCCCCGGAGAAAAAAGTCTGGAAGAAACACTGGAGGAAAGGGGGGGGGTGAATACAGAAGGCCAATACAGAAGGCTTTTTGGGTCATTGGATATATGTCGAGAAAATAATACGGAATCCTTCAAGTTTCTATATGTGTCAGGGTTAAGATTAAGAAAAAAAGTGTCTGTTATGGGAAATCACCGTAGACCTGGATCTAGGTTTAGATCAGAGTTTCTTTCAATCATCACTACTGCCCCCCCCCCCCCCAACGAAATATAATTTATTAACAAAACAGATACTTTTACCAGTGTCCGCCCCCCCCTAGAAAAAGTCTAAAAGAAACAACATTGGTTCAGAAGTATGTGATCCCACCAAGATTAGGGTTAGCTCTAGGTTAAGTAATTGGATCTGGACTAAGTTTAGGGTGTAAGTGTAACTAAGTTTAGAGTGTAAGTGTAACTAAGTTTAGAGTGTAAGTGTAACTAAGTTTAGAGTGTAAGTGTAACTAAGTTTAGAGTGTAAGTGTAGCGATTCTATAGTCCCCCCCAACTCCCCCCCCCCCCACCTCCCTCATTTCATACTAGTAATAAGTTCCAAATGTGAAAGATAACTAACTGGAAACAATTTCGCTTTATACCTTACAGTCGGTATTCGCCTACAGATCATGATCTTGACCCACTGAGTCGTGACCTTGACACTTACCACGTTCCCGCTGATGGACAGCGTCACCAGGTGAGGGAATGACGCTAGGGCATGGTCACCAAGCTCTGTCAAAGGCAGGGAGTCGAGGATCAACGTCTTGACGCTGCTGACGCGGGAACCCTGACTCACTGCAAGAAAAGACGCAAAAATTAAAGTCTTGGACTAGGAGTTTTTAACTTTCCCACGCCGGCGTTTATGGCCAGTTAATCTTGCTCTGATTTAAGTTTAAAAACCAGTTCATTAAAAAATTCACATCCTCACACACACACACACACACACAGTTCCACTGACACACACACAGATATACACATATACTCAACACAATCACACACACAGTTACACATACATACACATATACTCACATAATAACACAAACACACACAGACACACACATATACTCACAGTCACACATAGCATAGTCACACAAACACACAATTACACAAACACACACATACACTCAAAGTCACACACACCGTTACAGACACACACACATATGCTCACATTAACAAACACACAGTTACAGAGACACATATACAGTCGCGCACGCACACACACACACAGTTACACAGAGACACACACATCGAACCATAGTTACCATCGGTGATCGGGTTGTTACTTAAATCTAAAGTTTCCAACAGCAGCAAATTGTCTATGGCAGTGTAAGGGATTGACGTCAGTTCGTTATTGCTGATGTCAATTTGAACAAGTTTTGAGGTGCTGTGGATATATTTTGAAGAAGAATAAAAAAACTGAGTAAATTTAATGTGATAAATTGTCATATTTTATAATGATATGATTGAATGTCAAGTGTTATGATTGCTATGCAAGTTATCATCATTCACTGTCGCGTCATTTAATCGTTAAAGGAAAATATAAATAAGTTTTAGCTTAAATATTCAACACTATATTAATACATCCCCTCAACGTAACTATATTTCTATATTGGTAATAGCATTTAGAACATACATATAATCTTTTATTGTATTTTTTCATTTTAAATTATAAATTATAAAGATTTCTATGGCGACTAATGTTAATTTGGTTCTTTTCAATTTTGTATTGCATTTCTGCTTTTCAGGATGATATATGGGAACATCATCCGACTATACTTTCCGACTATACTTTTGAGTTAGATACCCATCAGAGCTGGGTCGACTCAGGGACTTTAAACTGACTTGAACTCAAATACAAACTTGAGACTTTCGGGTCTAACTTTGGGTGCAGTACTGACCACGTTATCCCTTCATATGCCGAGGTAACAGAAACAGGTGAACTCTACTTCACCTTTTTAATGTATATGAGAAAAATACGTTTTAAAATTAGGCATAAAAAATGTGAAAAATCGAAATGGTACTTAAAATACAAGTTAGTAAAAAAAAAGTTATTTAAAAAAACATGTCAAATCATTATTTACTTGACAAGGGCGTTGCCATCAAAACTTGTTATTTTGTTCTGAGACAGCAGAAGTGCGTTCAGATTGACCAGGTCAACAAACACGTGACCGGTTATCTGGGCCAACTGGTTGTGTCTAAGATTCAGGGTAATCAGGTTATGTAATCCCTGTGGAAATTATCATAAACAGTTCATAAATTCCACAATTTTTGTTATAATTCATAATTTCATGCATTATACAGTTGTATTTTGATTAATATATATGTTCTCTATAGCTTTTACCGTTGTTTTTTTTTTCAGATTTATAATAGTCTTTTTCCCCTAGACTTTTCATGGTAAATTTTTTTTTCTCCACGCCTTTGGTTGTTATATTTAATATAAAAAAATCTCGCAAAGTTTTCATATTAGTTAGTGGGGTAGCAACATACTCTTTAGATTAAAAAACCCGCGACCTAAAATCTGCCACGCCCCAGCCCAGTGTTTAAAGCAACAGTGTCGTCGCTATCCCCCTGTCTTTAATAGCTATTTGTGGGTGGCGTGTACTATTGTATCTCCAAAAGTCCTGAGTTCGGACCCCTGGGCAGATAAGGCTCTTTAGCTGGGGACTGGGGACATTAACTTATCCAGGAGAGACAACTCAAAAAATCAAACAACTGCTGCCTTGGGGATTGTTCTAGGGTGGACATCGGACGAGTAAGCCAATTCAGAAAGAAAAAAAAGTATGTTGAAGTCCAAGTGTACTGGCCCTATGGCACCTAGAACATGTTGACACGTAAAACTGAACTGTGTTGGAGGAAATCATTTACGATAAGTTAAGAAGGAAGATGATAAATATAAGTAGCTTTAAAAAAAGCTACTTTGATGAAGTTTAAAGTTAGCGCTGTTAAATGATTCTTTTAACAGCATTGCCCTGCCCGGTTGAACCCGGTTAGCAGTCCAGCTCTCAACCGCTAGACCACTCCGTCCCCCTGGTAACATGTCAACCTACCTTGAATGTGGCGGGGTGGAGCTGGGTCAGCTTGTTCTTGCTGAGGTCTAGAACCTTGAGGCTTCTCAAATCATCCACTGAGTTGGCTGCGATGTTCATTATAGAACACTCGGAGAGGTCGATCTCCTCAATGTACTTCATAAAAGGGAACGAAAAGGTATCTTCTACGAGCTTTTTTATTGGATTCCCGCGGAGAATCAGCCTCTTAAGCTGAAAATATCCTGCATCTGTAAATATATATATATATATATATATATATATATATATATATATATATATATATATATATATATATATATATATATATATATATATATATATATATATATATATATATATATATATATATATATATATATATATATATATATATATATATATATATATATGACTATATGTGTATCTGTGTACGCCCAATATATGTACTTTGATAATGATGCTAGTATGAGTTATGTCTATAGATTATGTCTACTGATTTTTGGGTGTATGTATTTTTAAATGTATGTTTATTTTTTCAATGTATTCTTCTTTTTCGGCGTTGAAAAAAAATTCAATAATCGGAAACGTCTGAATAATTATTCAACTAATTAATACGATTTAATTACAGGTTAAATTTGTCTTTCACAAAAAAAAGAAGCAAAATAAAATTAAATCACAATAATAAAAAGGAAAGTAAATAAAAAAACAACTCAGAAACTAATATTGAATCATAATAAAATGATAAAAGTTTATAAACTTAAAAATTTAGATCGGCGGATTTTTTTGACCTGGGTGCAACACATAGGCCACATTTTACTTCAAAACAAAGGAGTAGGCCTACACTCTCAACTCTTTAATTTCATTAAGGTGAAACATAAATAAAAAAATTATTAAAGTTTCAAAACTCATTAAACGTTAACCTTTATATTACTCATTCATATTTTAATAGAAACAATGCAATATTAAAAAATTTAACTATGATTTCTATTAACCAGCTATATTCCCTATTATTCTTTACATAAACTTTTACCCTTGAAGAAGAGTTCCTTTGTGATAGCTTCTTCTGTGAGTCTGTTGTATGAAAGATCCAAAGACCTTAAGCAACGAAGCTTCGAAAAGGGGCTGCCTTCAATGAAGCTTATTTCGTTTCTGTTGACGGAGATCAGAATTAAATAAACCGGGAGTGATCTCCCCTAAACTTTCTCGAATAATCTTATAAAGCACTACGTGGGATGGCAACTCGGAATATAGACATGATTTTTAATTACTTAAACTTTTAAAAATAGAATAGAATCTCGTAGAAAAAAGAATTGCGCACCAAGCGAACGCCAAAACAAAATATGCATGATACTGCGGAATATTATTAGTACTTTATAAATTTACATGCGTTTTTTGAAAAATTGGAAATAGTGTAAATTACTACTTCCGGTCAACGGAAATTACTCAAAATTTGACAGAAGGTAGAACATAGATCTTTTACTTACATGTGAAATTTCATTTATCTATCTGAAATAGTACTCAAGTTATAGGCTTTTGAAAAATTCAAAGTAGAAAAAGTACCACTTTCAGTTATCGGAAATCGCTCAAAAGTTGATACGGATCTACGATTTTGATAAAATACTTAAGTATCAATTTTCATCAACCTAGCTATAACGGTACTCAAGTTATCGTGTTTGTACACACACACACAGACACACACAGAGACACACAGACATACGGACAAGATTGCAAAATTATGTTTTTCCGTATCAGTGAGATGTAAAACGTCGAGATTTGTAAAAATCTCAATTTATTTGGCACGATTACAAGACTTCCTGTATACTTCGTATATATGAGAAAGTAAAAATGTATACGATCTTTGTCTTAATTATGATCGTCCGTCCGTCCGTCTATCATTCCAACCGTCGTCCATCCGTGCTCCCATCCGTCCGTCCATCCCCCCGTCAGCTAATTCACACATCTACTTCCTCATCCATCATTCTACCTATCCATAATTCCACCCACCTAACAATCCGCCTAATTACCGATTCGCCCTTCTAGCCATCCACCCATCCACTCTCCCAACTACCCATATACCCATCTACCTTTACACTTATCCATCCATCCGCTTACCCACCTACCCACCTGCCCATCCCCACACACACTACTAACAATACACAGACACAAAATAACAGCACCTCAACTAAAAACCACAAAACAGTATCTAACGCACCTGCTAAACGAAATGTCCAATCGACAATAATCGGACTGGTCAATGTCGGTCAAACATTTTTCGTGGTCGCACTTCTCCGACTCCTCAATGGGCGGTATGGTCGATATGTAATTGTCACTGTAATCAATTACCTCCGCCTGTTCAGGGATTTCTCCTACCTGGAAGATATCTGAAATGTTTGGAAAAAGTCAGGAAATAAAAAGTGACCGACATGGTCTGTACAACTTTAACCCATCTGAAACCATAACACCCTCCTTGACCCTACCCAGTGGTTCTTAACCTATTGGAGGTACCGATCCCCACTAGCTCCATATGCGCTGTCACCGAACTCTTCTTAATAAGAAACATAAAATATAATTTTGTTTTAAAATTCGAAACACTGGCAGGTCTATATGTTTTACTGGTGCTCAAAATGAGTAATACTGTGTTCAAAGAACAAAACCATTTAAATATGATTTTCAAACAAAAACAGAAACAACTTTGAATGAAGAGAGTGATGTGTCCTTGTATTGTCTCCATTCAGCTTGTGGAGCACAAGGATACACCCACACTTCTCCATCGAACATGGTTTTTGGCGATTCCTCCAAGTTGGGCCCACGATATTCCGGTTGCTTCTGCTTCAAGACAACTGATCTTTTCCAAGTTTAGTTTTGCCGATGTTAGACTATAACTGCTTAATTTGGCTTTGCAAATCACGCAGTTAGGACGCGGACTCCCAACAAGTTCTGTCACAGCACATCTATACATGATCAACGCGCGCCTGTACAGGTGGCATTGACATGATTTTGTAATACATGTGTGTCGTGACGTGAAAGGTACTACGTTATAAAAATATCATGATACCGATACGTTTTATATTGCCCTGGCGCTCTTTATTACTTTGTCGTAATATCACGCTGTCGTATTTCAACTGTCCTCGACCGCTTTTTCTATCAATGTCGAAATCCGATCGCAAATCAAATGAGTAGGATGTGTCTTGACCTTCGCTGAACCGCTGAAACTGTCTTACCGAATCCCTGGGGTTCGATTGAACCCAGGTAAAGAACCACTGGTCTAACCGTAAATGACGTCACAATCTTGAGTTGGGGGGACCAAAAAACAAAAAAACACCTGAGGATATGGTTTGACCACTTTGGAATATTGAACCTGATATAAAAGCAGCATTACTTTTTAAAACTAGCAGCATATTTAAATGGGCTTTTCTTTGCAATTAAAAAAATAATATTTAAAGTCACTTACTTCACCTTGTTTAACAATCAAATATTTTAAATTAACTTGCAAACAATACCCTTACGTTACTGTACAATCTCATTTTAGACGTATTAAAAGTCAAACACTTTACATTAAATTTTAAAAGCAAATGCCATACATTTCTTTAAAATAAAATACTGAAAAAATATTTAAAAATAATACTTCACACTTCTTTAAAAGCAAGTAGGCATACTTCACTTGACCTTGAAGTCAAATAAATCTACGTTTGCCAGAGCAATTAAAACACTTCTTTAAAATCAAGTACTTGACTTTGAAATCAAATCTACGTTACTTTTGCCAGTGCAATTAATAACACTTCTTTAAAGGCAAGTACTAATCTTGACTTTGAAATTGAAAAATCTACTTTACTTTTGCCAGAACAATTAAAAACACTTCTTTAAAGGCAAGTACTAAACTTGAATTTGAAATTAAAAAATCTACTTTACTTTTTCCTGAGCAATTAAAAACACTTCTTTAAAGGCAAGTACTAAACATGAATTTGAAATTAAAAAATCTACTTTACTTTTTCCTAAGCAATTAAAAACACTTCTTTAAAGGCAAGTACTAAACATGACTTTGAAATTAAAAAAAATCTACTTTACTTTTGCCAGAACAATTAAAAACACTTCTTTAAAGGCAAGTACTAAACTTGACTTTGAAATTTAAATATAGGCGTAATTCTCTTTTTTAAATTTTTATTTAACTGTTGGATTCTTTAAAGTTGTTAATCTATATATATAATAAACCGGGAGTGATCTCCCCTAAACTTTCTCGAATATTCTAATATAACACTACGGGGGATGGCAACTCGGGATATAGACTTCTAGACATGATTTTTAATCCATTTTAAATACTCAAATTTTTTAAAATAGAATATAATCTCGTAGAAAAAAGAAATGCACACCAAGTGAACGCTAAATAAAGATGTGCACAATAGTGCGCAATATTATTAGTACTTTATAAATTTACATGCGTTTTTTGAGAAATCGGAAGTAGCGTAAATAAGTACTTCCGATAAACGGAAATTACTCAAAATTTAACAGAAGGTAGAAAATTAGATCTTTTACTTACAAGTGAAATTTCCTTTATCTATCTGAAATAGTACTCAAGTTATAGGCTTTTGAAATATTCAAAGTAGAAAAAGTACCAATTCCGGTTGTCGGAAATCGCTGAAAAGTTGATACGGATCTACGATTTTGATATAATACTTATATATGAAATTTCATCAACCTAGCTGTAACGGTACTCAAGTTATCGTGTTTACACACAGACACACAGACACACAGACACACAGACATACGGACAAGATTGCAAAATTATGTTTTTTCCGTATCCGTGAGGTGTAAAACGTCGAGATTTGTAAAAATCTCGATTTTTTTTGCACGATTACAATACTTTCTCTATACTACGTATATACGAGAAAGTAAAAAAATCTACTTTACTTTTGCCAGAACAATTAAAAATGTGAAGCTCTTTCTCCGTGGCGCTGACGTCACATTCGCCTGTATGTTGGGCCGGTACAAGGACCAAGATGGCAGCAAGGGACACAACTTGACACAGGAGGCTCAACATCTTGCTGTGTCTGTAAGGCGAAACAAATGAAAACAATATTCTTTGCTCTATGGCTCAGATACACGGGTAATAACCAAATAAAAAACAGTGCTTTATAAATATAAATTCTAAAGGATTCAGAGGTATGAAGCAATCTCAAATAAAATTGTATAGAATAAATTATACAGACAAACACGAGATTGAAAAAAATATGTTGAAAATAAAGCGCTGAAGGAGAAGGCACACCCTAAGCACCCCCCCCCCCCCATCAGTGCCGGCGCCAGGTTATTTAGAGCCCTAGGCAAAACTTATTAAAACGCCCCCTTTCACACAAATTAATTGCTAAAACATGTGTATCAGAAAACAATTAATTAAAAGCGACATATCAATTTATTATCAATTGCATACACGTTATAAGTAGACATCAAAATCAAATTTTACTTGCCTCCTTCGTCGCAAAAGTTTATGTATTTGTTTTCCAACCTGTCAATGCTAAAAAAAACCTATAAAACTATTTTGTTTAGAACTTCTGCTCTATATAATATTTTTACAATAACAAATAATAACTTAATGTTGTATTTATAAGTAAGCGGTCAACCTAAGGTGCAGGAATTTGAAATGAATGAAAAATAAAGCAACGAATTATCTCCCATTTGGAAATACAAATACCAAAATCTTATTCAAGGGAAATAACTTTCACAACAATAGCTAAATTAACTTAGTGTAACTAAGACATGCTTGAAAAACACAATAAAACGCTCTAAATTTCATTAGGTAATAATTATAACAAATCTTTTATATTAACTATGCAGCCGTGACTAAAGAATATATTTTACTCATTGACTACTTAACTGTGGGTTTTGTTTGTAAGTCTAAACACGGTAGCTTAATTATAACATATTTCGAGTCAATTTTGATGACATACCTTATAATTTACTTGCTACAACTAAAAAATACATAAAATTTTGGATCCCTTAAATAGAGGGACGGCTTTAAAAAAAAATCTAATACGGGTTACTTTTAAGATACTGCTACAATTATTGATTAAATATAAAAAGTTTACAGTTAGTTATAAATTCCAGCCTAGATCTATATAATATTATATATTAATACTTTAAGAGTGGTTATATAGATTCCTATTAAAATAAACCGGGAGTGATCTCCCTTAAACTTTCTCGAATATTCTTATATAACACCACGTGGGATGGCAACTCGGAATATAGACATGATTTTTAATTACTTAAACTTTAAAAAATAGAATAGAATCTCGTAGAAAAAAAATTGCGCACCAAGCGAAAGCCAAAACAAAATATGCATAATAGTGCGGGATATTATTAGTACTTTATAAATTTACATGGGTTTTTTGAGAAATCGGAAATCGCGTAAATTAGTAGGCCTACTTCCGGTTAACGGAAATTATTCAAAATTTGACAGAAGGTAGAGGATTAGATCTTTTACTTACATGTGAAATTTCATTTATCTATCTGAAAAAGTACTCAAAAAGTAGAATAAGTTCCACTACCGTTTACCGGAAATTGCTAAAAAGCTGATAAATAATTACAAATTTGATATAATACTTCTACATAAAATTTCATCAACCTAACTGTAACGGTACTAAAATTTACTTGTTCACAGACACACAGACACACATCCACACAGATACACACACACAGACTTGTAAAAATATGTTTTTCCGACTCAGGGAGGTGTAAAACGTCGAGATATGTAAGCGCGTAATATAACAGAGGTAAACATGTAGGAACCACAAATGTATGATGTATGTATGTAATTGTAATATTTATTGATATAGACTATTATAGACGAAGAGATGCCCGAAAGAAACCCTGAGTCTGAGAGCTGCCCTGTTGATACGCTGGTTGTTGCTTTAAGGTTGGAGCTGTCTAGCTGTGGTGACTTGTAGTTTTTTTGTTGATGTTGTGTATGTTGCGTCCACGGCAGTTGGAGGCAGAGGCGTAGCGACCCTTCCCGGGGCCCGGGGACAAACTTTCGATTCGCACCCCCCCCCCGTCAAACTTTAGATTTGCACACCCCCTCAAACTTTCGATTTGCACCCCCTCAAGCTTTCGATTTCCACCCCTCCCCTCAAACTTTTGATTTGCACCCCCTCAAACTTTCGATTTGCAACCCCCTTCAAACTTTCGATTACTTTTTCCAATCCATTTTGGCGCCCAATAAGGTCGGCGCCCGGGGACATGGGTCGTCCCCCCCTGCCCCCCCCCCCCACCTAGCTACGCCTCTGGTTGGAGGTGATGTTGATAGTGTTGCTCGTTAATTTTACATTGTAATTTACAGTGTCAGTTTGCCTCGCCATGTTCGCTTTAGTGTTACAGTTTTCATTTATCGACTTGTGAGGACTGTACTCGAGTTTCGATCTAAACAAAATCATACTTCAACATAGAACCTGTTTCTCTAATAAAATAACTGCTTGATTTATGAAAAAAAAAATCAGTCATTTGTTTAATCACAGGTTCAGTATCAAATATTTAACCACATATATCAAGCCTAACCGTGACAGTGACCAGCTTACCTCATCCAACCTATTGAACTTTGATATGAAACGTATCCTAATTACACTGGAATGTTCTCAAGTAAATAACTCAACAAAACTTAGATTTATTATATCCAAAACAGGTTGTAGTAATCCACACCAAACTAAGTATCCTACAAAGAAATGTATCCACCATGACACTTGAACAAGACGTTAGAATACAACGAAATGTGATGTGCAGGTATAGATAGGCCGATAGAACAGTAAAATACTTGAATGATAAACCAGGCTCTCGATCGGCCCTCGTTATCAATCAAACCTGAGCCTTATATCAGGGTGGACTCGATACGACATTTCGCTGGTGCTATCTATAGAAACGACTTCATATCTCGTGACCTGATTTTAAGTTTTCAATTAAAACTTTTACGGGTTAATTAAATGAGTTTAACACATGTGTAGACGTATAAGGGGACTTAATCCATTACATCTGCTTTTGTCTTAAAGACCATACAAAAAATTATCAGGGGACTTAATCAGTCACATCTGCTTTTGTCTTGAAGACCCTATCAGGGGACTTAATCCATCCTATCTGTACATTTGTATTAAAGACCCTATCAGGGGACTTAATCCATCCTATCTGTACATTTGTATTAAAGACCATATCAGGGGACTTAATCCATCATATCTGATTTTGTCTTAAGACGTTATAAGGGGACTTCATCCATCATATCTGCTTTTGCCTTAAAGACCTTATAAGGGGACTTAATCCATCATATCGGCTTTTGTCTTAAAGACATTATAAGGGGACTTAATTCATCATATCGGCTTTTGTCTTAAAGACCTTAAAAGGGGACTTAATACATTATATTTGTGTTTTTGCCTTAAAGACCATATAAGGGGACTTAATCCATTATATTTGTGTTTTTGCCTTAAAAACCTTATAAAGGGACATAATCCATCATTTCTGTGCTTTTGTCTTAAAGACCATATAAGGAAATTTAATCCATCATATATTTGTCTCGTAGATTCGTAGGCGGCTGGGGTCTCATTTCTTTTTTTCTTTTTTCTTTAACTCCGCCATCTTTAGTATCTCATCAAGTGTAAAATCCATCTTTTTTTATGTTGGATTTCTATTGTTAGCTGCCTCTTTTTTTTTTAAAATTCACCGATCCCCAATGTTCTAATATATTTTCATATATAGACACATATATAAACACATGCATGCATGCACCTACACACACGTATAGTTCATACACAGATATACACACGCATTAACACAAACGCGCACACACACGAATGCACACACACACACACACACACACAGTGCAGGAACATTCAGACAAACGCTCCCATGCATGTCTACAAAGATTGCTAGCCTACAAGCCACCCACTCTAAAGAATTTCAGGCTAGAAAATTATGCACAAAACAAAGTGAAAATATAATTTTAATTTCGCATAACTTATTTAATATATATAAATATATTGCTATGTAACTCAGCTTAAACCTTCAAACAGGAAATAGAACAACTGGTTGCTATGCAAACAAAAAAAAACAATCACTTGGATACGGGTAGGGAAGTGTAGGATTTGTGACATTGACATAGATCAAATAATTGTTTTGTTGACGATTGTATGTAAACAGGTAATACATTTGGAAGCCCTGAATAAAACATTTAAAAACAGATTTGATTGAAAAGTGGAGATTTATGTCTGAATGATTGTTAAATAGATACTTATTAACCTACTTAAGTGCAGATAATCTGCTGAATTTTTTTTTATTTAAAAAAAGGGAAACTACTGCTTCAGCTTTATGCATGTATGTGTTTTCTTTTTAATAATAAATGTTTGTTAAAAAATATTAGAAGAACAATTTGATTTTTAAAATATTGTAGACATTCATAAATAACTAACAATTGAAAAATAAAAATAATTATAAAAAAGCAATACAATATACGTCACGTTTAAAAACAACCCAATCGAATGTATTACATTAACTTAAAATATTTCGAAACTTTGAGGATGAAAAAATGACATACATCAATATACATGACAATTTGGGAATAACTGTAGTGGTTTTATCTTGTAAACACATTTCATGCCTGACGTAGCCAAACTAACGATACTTAGACATTTTAACATTCAGCTGCAAGCGAAAAAAAAAAACAACAATCGTATACACTTAACGATACACTATTTAATTTAGAGGCCGTGTCGGTTAAGCTGATGTTTGCTAAACCGAAAAGTCCCGAGTTTGAATCCCCAGGTAGCTGAGACTCGATAGCTAGGGACAGCAACTCTTCTAGGAGAGACAACTCCAAAATCAAACAACTGCTGCCTTGTAGTTTGTTCTTGGTTGGACAAAGGCTATGGAAGCAAATCCAAAAAGAAAAGCAGGCTGAAATCGGAGTCAACGGCCTATACGGCGCATAAGTTGACACGCAATACTTAACTGTGTTGGAAGAAATTCATTCAAATATACAATTACGAAATAAAAGATGAACAAAATTCAATTTCTTTCTTTGAATAAAATAACCAGAAGGTTCTTCCACCGGGGTGGTACTAAAACATCAAACTCGCTCTCCTAATTGAGTCAAATCAAAAGAAATACATCCCATATTTTCACACCGTGTTGAGTGTATGCGAATATTTCATATCTATTTCGAAATGGACTGGACACCCTCCCTCCTCTTTCTCCTCTCTCTTGAAACCGTTGTAAATACACATTGCAAGTAGTGTGTCAGTCATTCCCTGTCTCTGGCCTATACACATCCTTACAGGCAATTGGACCTCGTCAGTGTTTTAGGGCGATCAGTATTGAAGATGTTCATACATGAGATATTAGCTTCGGACACCCACGAAAAAACGACATTACAACTATCGGATTTTTATTAGCGCTGTCTCCTAAGCAACAACAACAAAAATTAACTTTCAGATGGGGGAGGTGGTTTTGCAATCTCCACCCCCCGGACGGAAGGACGAGGCCATAAGCTTGCATATTTTTATCGTAATTGGGGAAACCAAGATGTTGACCCTATTTTCACCCTCCCCCTCCCCACACCGTTTTATTTAGACCAGTCACCTCTCCATTCTCTCATTCTGAAAATCACATCACGAAATTGCCACAAAAACTCATTTTCACTTTAAAATACTATACCATTTTTTTTTCAAAATAAAAAGAATGTTTACTTGCATTCAAAACATTGTATTTATGAATTTAAAAAAAAATTGTTAGCAAAAACATGAGTTGACATACCAATATCTCAACTTCAGAAATAAATGTGATGTATTCTCGTGGATATATTAAAAAATTGCATGCCATTTTTACTCTCGTTGCAATTACCATGTAAATAATAAATTATTGCTTATTTATAAATATAGAATATGGTGCTCAGTATAAATAAATAATTAATTGGAAAGGCTCGAGAGTTGAAAATAAACTTTTTTTGTTGTTGTAAAATTAGCATACAATTACATAACCTGTAAAAGAACGTTAAATACAACATATTCTACATGCACACGTTTTCTTATACGAATATTGTAAAACTATGAGTATTTGTTCCGTTAAATAACACCCATTTGTTCAAGGATCCTTATCTGTCATAAATGACGCCATCAAATTTTGTCAGTTGTCACTCATTGTATATGTCACCATGGCAAACTTTTAGTGTTATTCGAAAAATGAAGTGACGCTATTTAAGCCGACATCCTCCCTACCCTTTGTCCATTCCCTAGTGTCACACATCGTCACTTTAATGGAGGACCCAGCCTAGATCTTAACAGATTTTATGTTGCAATGGTGTTACATGATATAGTCCTACAGTCCCCTGACATAGTCCTACAGTCCCCTGCCATAGTCCTACAGTCCCCTGACATACCCTTACAGTCACATAACATAGTCCTACAGTCCCCTGACATAGTCCTACAGTCCCCTGACATACCTTACAGTCACATAACATAGTCCTACAGTCCCCTGCCATAGTCCTACAGTCCCCTGACATAGTCCTACAGTCCCCTGACATACCTTACAGTCACATAACATAGTCTTACAGTCCCATGACATAGTCCTACAGTCCAGTAACATAGTCCTACAGTCCCCTGACATAGTCCTACAGTCCCCTGACATAGTCTTACAGTCCCATGACATAGTCCTACAGTCCAGTAACATAGTCCTACAGTCCCCTGACATAGTCCTACAGTCCCCTGACATAGTCTTACAGTCCCATGACATAGTCCTACAGTCCAGTAACATAGTCCTACAGTCCCCTGACATAGTCCTACAGTCCCCTGACATAGTCTTACAGTCCCATGACATAGTCCTACAGTCCAGTAACATAGTCCTACAATCTCCTGCCATAATCCTTACAATCCCTAGCACCATTGAAATAAAAAACCACCGTAAAACACGAATACAAGACGCTATGTTGGAAGTTCTGCTGGGTTTAGAGACGCATTCCTCCTACAAGCTGGACACGGTCGTCTCTTGCCACTCCGACCTAGGGTGGACCTTGCTAGATGGACGGCACATCTGAAATAAGAAGTTTGGTTTGTCTTACATTTTAAGAACATTGCTAGCGATAGAAACTGTAAAAAACCTAATTAATTAAAACTGTTGATAATTAGTGGATCTTGTTTAGTATATGAACAAAACGAATTTTTTTTTGTCAACATTAAAAAAACACCCTGAAGATTGGAAGAGACTCTTGAGCATCTTCGTTAATAGACGACTATCAATGTAGGGGTCCATTTAAGAGTATGTGTATGTGTGGCCCACAACTTTATCAACCTACGCCAGTCACCACTTTTATCTATAACTTTAATCGAAAACATGTTCAACACATAAAATGATTTTTCTGTAGCTTTATACTCGAATATAAGATGGAATCTACCCGAACTTTTCGTATAACTTTTGCTATAATGTTATTAGTAATTCTATCTATGGTTACCTGTATTTACCTACATTTACCTATATTTACCTATATTTATCTACATTTAGCTATATTCACCAATATATACGTAAATTTAATTTAATTTATCTATATGTATCTATATTTTCTTATATTTATTTGTATTCACCAACATATACCTATATTTACCTACAATTATCTAAATTTACCTATATTTACAAACACGTATATTTACCTATATCAACCTATATTTACATATATTTACCTATATCTACGTATATTTACCTATATTTATCTCAACCTACATTTACCTCTATCTACCTGTATTAACCAATATCAACAATAACTTAAGCCACAACACCACACCCCCACCTGGCGTGAACAAAGTGCCCACAACTGAGGGGCTCTAGTCGCTCCGGGGTCTGGCCGATGATGTCCCCACACACCCCACAGAAGAGATCCATCTCTAGCACCAGTTGCCTGATGACGCTGGCGTGACGTCGTACTTTGATGTCGTCACCGGTTACCTCGCTGAGTAGCTGGAGCCGGGCGTGGCAGCGGAGCATTTCCAGCTGACGAGAGTTGACAAAAATTGTTTATACCGTCATTAAAGTTTATAAGTTTTATTCTTTTTTTTTCAGCGGAGCATTTCCAGCTGACGAGAGTTGACAAAAATTGTTTATACCGTCATTAAAGTTTATAAGTTTTATTCTGTTTTTTTCAGTGGAGCATTTCCAGCTGACGAGAGTTGACAAAAATTGTTTATACCGTCATTAAAGTTTATAAGTTTTATTCTGTTTTTTTCAGTGGAGCATTTCCAGCTGACGAGAGTTGACAAAAATTGTTTATACCGTCATTAAAGTTTATAAGTTTTATTCTGATTTTTTCAGTGGAGCATTTCCAGCTGACGAGAGTTGACAAAATTTTTTTATACCGCCATTAAAGATAAAAATATTAATTAACTACTAAGGTAGTTTTCTTAACCATTAAAGTGACCAAAAAAAGACGATATGTCCTGTATTGAGATAAAGGCAATATAAATCAAGGTCTATTGCAGGGAGATTGAAAATATTAGAAAAAAAAATGACATTGAAATATTTTGACTCCCCGGAACAAAGTATTGAAAATATAATTTTTTTTTTAATCTTTTCAACTTTCAAAGTTCTAAACGTATTTTGTTCAATTATAGCTATAGAATTTTAAGATATTTAAATTCCTGAGTATGTTTTAGCTAAAAAATAGGAAATTATTTACTTTTATTCTTTTCTAATCAAGCTAATTATTAGAAGTGTTTTGGAACCATTTAATATTTCAATACACTCTGGGTTTTTGTATTGCTTCAATATGTTAGTTGGTTGTAATCATTATTTAAATAGAACAGAATGATCTTAGAGTTTTCCTAGCTCTATCGTTATGTATGTAATACAAGCAGACGCCTTCATAAAATTAGAAAGTGACGTCAGTGCCCAAGTTTACCACATACCTTAGTTCCAACCTTTGTAGCTAGCTCTAAAGCTTTTTCATTCAGCTCAATAGCCTGTCAAGTAGAGGTCAGGATCAGTTAGTTATACAATTTAAAAACAAATGGGACAAAATCTTTTTTAAAAATGACACGCGAATACTCAATAATATATGGGATGGTGTGGTGGAAAGGTAAAGCGTTTAGCTGCTAGCCCGAAGGTCTCAAGTTCGGATTTAGGCTTGGTGTGATTCCAACACTTCCCCGAGTCCACCCAGCTCTGATGGGTACCTGGCGTACTTTGGGGAAAGTAAAGGCGGCGAGGCATTGGGCATTATTTGCCGAGGTCAAGAAACATGAACTCGACTTGATCTGCCCAATGGATTGCTATGTCTAAAGAGGAACTACACTATCACACTATCAATACTTTAATAAACACTCAGTTTGATATAAGAATACACCGTGAGTAACATAGTTTAACCAAGTACATAGAGAATTCAAATGACGATGTGAAAGAAAAAAATGAACCCTACATAGAAAACTGAGCGACATGACATTTTCACAAATCTCCCTGGCTTAATACATGTCGTAAAACGGCTACAGGACATTACCCCCCTGGATATTTCCCCCCCGGACATTCCCCCCCCGTATTTACCCCACGGAGCAATTACCCCCCTGTCAATTACCCCCCCCCCCCGGGGAATTACCCCCCCCCCCCCCCCCCCCCCCTCAAGTTAAAATCCTAACTCTAACTAGAAATTTATACCTATATACTACTTTAATCCAAACCTTAAGAAAAAGACCAAAACCTAAGCATCCACCTTAGGCAAAACTTCACACAAAACCAAAACTAAAGCTAGACACAACCCTAAACCTAAAACTAACTCTAACCCTAACCCTAACCCTAGCTCTTACCCTAAACCTAGCCCTAACCCTATCCCTAACCCTAACCCTAACCCTAGCCCTAGCCCTAACCCTAACCCTAACCCTAGCCCTAGCCCTAGCCCTAGCCTTAACCCTAACCCTAACCCTAACCCTAACCCTAACCCTAACCCTAACCCTAACCCTAACCCTAGCCCTAGCCCTAGCCCTAACCCTAACCCTGTCCGGGGATGGGGGGGGGGGTAATGTCCTACTGGGCGGGGGGTAATTGACTGGGGGGGTAATTGACAGGGGGGTAATTACTCTGGGGGGTAATGTCGGGGGGGGGGGGGAAATATCCGGGGGGTAATTTACAGGGGGGAAATGCCCTGTTCCCCGTAAAACATATGTAACACTTAACGAACAATTATCAAGTATTTATTTTATCAACAAGTTTTGCAGTGTACTTGTTCTGTCTCATTGTTCTCGTGTAAGCGTTTTTTTTACAAGATTTTTTGTGTTCATGCGTTGTTTATATTGGTGCCACGCCCACCCGTGGTGAGCAATACAAGGGAAATAACTCATTTGACAAGCTAGCACCAGATTCATAGTTACCTTCCCTCCGCTAGAATTTGTGCTGAGTAAGCTATTATCAGTGGCAGTTTTTTTTTTACATCGTAGGATTAACAATAGATATAAACTCCAGTCAGTAGCAGAAGCGTAGCGAGGGGGGGGGGGGGGGGGGCGGGAGGTGCGGACCGCATCGGGTGACACCATTTGGGGGGGGGGGGACACCAAGTTCCACTTAATTAAGTGATTAATTCGAGTTTTAAATAGTGTTTTAAGAGGTGCAAATCGACTGTTTGAGGAGGAGGGGGGGTGCAAATCGAAAGTTTGAGGGGGGTGCAAATTGAAAATTGAAAACTTTGTCCCCGGGAAGGGTCGCTACGCCTCTGGGGGAGGGGGGGGGGGTGACACCATTAAGTGCCGCACCGGGTGACACCCGACCTCGCTACGCCACTGGTCAGTAGTAGATATACATGAGTGATTTGTGATAGTTATTAGTTATACTTCGGTAAATGTATATGTATACATCGTTATAATCCATCATTCTCTGTGGTCATAATAAGTCGCTATTTCAGTGATCGTTATAAAGTCTGAAATCACTTGTCACTATAAATCATGTCATCCGATTTCAGTCCTCACAAACCGATGATGAAAACTGTGATACTAAAGCGAACACGCAAGGCAAACTGACGCTGTAAATTACATGTCTAAGTTTAAAAAAACAACAACAACACATGGAGTATAATTAGAGAGCTGTAATGCTAGTAGCTTTAAATGACCAGTGGTCAGCAGCCTACTGAGGCGTAATTGGCTACTTAGACATCTCCCTTAAAGCGGGTCCCACTTACAGCTACACAAGCACCTATAAAAATAGGAATAATAAAAATGCATGCACGCAATTTTTCATGTATTTTCTACACAGTTAGGCAATGGCACCTGGAGTTAAATTTATCTTAAATTGCGGCTTCTGAAATAATTTTAGCGTGTTAAAAATATAACAGCATGTGTCTTGGGCAACTGTTTCCGACCCACACAGTCGACTTAAAACAACTTCACACGGATTAGATGTATTCGTTGCTTACGTTGTGAAATGGATTTATGTAATGTGGGTTGAGTTTTGTTGGGGGGGGGGGGGGGGGAGGGGGTGAAATGGAAGCAGAGTATCTTTCAGGAATCTCTTCGAGGAAATAGAATTTACAAACAAAATATATGCTTCAACCAGTGTTCCCCCCCTCCTCCCGTAATTTTAAATTCGCTTCCCTCCACGAAAGTTTCAAGTTTCTCCCACGGAGAAAAATGTCTGAAAGAAACACTAATTGAAAAGTACTTTATGTGTTCACGTCTATGTTGTGGCCACAGATCCAGATCTGTATGTTGACATCTCAGACTAAATAAGCTCACAACAACTCCTACGATCAGATCGGCTAAATCTATTGCCCTAAAGACCAGTTGCCCATTGCCCATCGCGACCGAGCCTCCTACTGAATCTTCGTGCTGATCATTCAATGTAATATCTCTGATCCAATCGTTCCTTCATTGATAACACATTGAAATACTTCCACGGCTGGTATCGTTACCAGAACATCAGCCCACAGCCCATGTTTACACCTACAGCAAAAACAGAGTAGGCTGTACAGCGTATTATGCCTCAATAATAACGCCGTATATCGGAGTATAAGAACTAAGAATGAGGGGGGGGGGGAGAAGGAATAGCTTGCTGATGTCCTAATGCACGATGAAATGTGTACCAATCTTACATCAATGTTGGGCCGCAGCCCTAAAGTTAACACATGTTACATACTCAACTTCTGACGTTTGCAATAATTTAGGATCTAGACTCTGACGTAAGCAATAATTTAGGATCTTGACACAACCCAGGTAAACTATTGTTAGACTAAAAAAAAAATAGTTAAACAAAATACAAAAATATAAAGATAGCACTGGGATCCTTATTTTCCCCATGCAAAACCCCACTTTGGCCCTGAGAGTTCGCCGAGTGACGACAGCGTAGGCGAGGCTATTTTTAGACGCGGCATATCGAGGTGCGAATTGTGAAATCCAGGGGGAGATAATGTTCCGAGGAAATGTTTGATGTTCTTCGGGTGAGTGCACACAGGCGAGATATTACTTTAATGGGGGGGGGGGGGGGGGGTGAGCATGTTTGAAATGTAGTCTGTAGATCCTAATGAAGGTAAATACAGCTGTAGGGGAACCACAAGCTTTTGAAAATACATCGGTAACAATACATTTCTCAATATACCTCATTGAAGGACACCCCCATATATATATATATATATATATATATATATATATATATATATATATATATATATATATATATATATATATATATATATATATATATATATATATATGCTATTTGTATAAATACAATTATAATTATTTCAAAATTATATTTAGGTATAATATTATATTTATATATATATATATATATATATATATATATATATATATAGGCCTATATATATATATATATATATATATATATATATATATATATATATATATATATATATGCCTATATATAGTTCAAATCGTATTACGTCTAAACATTTCCCCCCAGTGTTCATCTATTCGCTGGTGCGTCAAATCTTTTTTGAAATGTCTGTTCCACTTAGGTTTCTTTCATTAGCAGCTGATTGCAAATTAAAAGAGAGCTGGGAACGTGTTTCCATAATTAGCCAGTGAGGCACGAGAATCGACTCCAGACGGTGATTTAAGACTAAATTACTGCTATATGGCGGGATGAGCTAAGAGTTACAATAATATAGACAGATATAAAGCGAATTTATACTTTTGAACAGTTTCTTTTATTCATCTCTCTGAGGAGGCATTGTCCCCCGGAGTCCGTCCACTGACCCTCCGCCCACACCCCGGACGAAATAGAAAAAATATATTTTATGTAGAAAATATCTACTTTACCTAGTGTCAGACCCACCCGGAAATTTCAAAGTGGACCCCCGGAAGTTTTAAATGCTTCCCGCACCCAGAAAAATGCATAAATGAAACTCTGTTTTCAACAAGTGTCTTTAAAAATAATATATCTACGAAATTCTAAATATTAGTTTAAAAAATTTTCAGATTTTTTTTCTTTTACAGTTGTAGTGTAGTTTGAATAAAGGGCATAACATATTTTAAATAAGGAGTATTTTAAATCCAAACATTCTGTATATTATATAAATTGATATCGAAGGCTTAAAACGACTGCGGTTATAGAAGCTTTTAAAATCAATGAGATCACTACCAAGGTGAGATCACTACCAAGGTGAGATCACTACCAAGGTGAGATCACTACCAAGGTGAGATCACTACCAAGGTGAGATCACTACCAAGGTGAGATCACTACCAAGGTGACATCATTACTAAGGTGAGATCACTACTAAGGTGAGATCACTACTAAGGTGAGATCATTACTAAGGTGAGATCACTACCAAGGTGAGATCACTACCAAGGTGAGATCACTACCAAGGTGAGATCATTACCAAGGTGAGATCACTACTAAGGTGAGATCACTACCAAGGTGAGATCACTACCAAGGTGAGATCACTACCAAGGTGAGATCACTACCAAGGTGAGATCACTACCAAGGTGAGATCACTACCAAGGTGAGATCAGATCACTTCCAAGGTGAGATCACTACCAAGGGCAATTGGAGAACCTGAGTCAGGCATTGTTTCTGTCAGATTTCTTTATCCGAGGGGGCACTGGATATTTTCGCCGGTGGGGGGGGGGGGGCTATCGGATTGTTCCGGGGGGGGGGGAAGGCACACTGGTAAAAGTACATATTTAAAAAAATTAAATCCATTAATACCATTTCGTTGAAGAAAGATGAAGGGGGGGGGGGGGGGGAAGGCGGTAGACTTGCTTCGGCCAGCCCCCCCCCCCCCCCCCCAAAGGAAAGCCTGGAAGAAACTATGGGCTCAGGTTGTGTTGTGTCTAAAAAGCTTTTGCTATGTACAACATTAACATCAGAATAAAGCAGTTAACTTCTACAGCTCTGCTTTTGGTCGAAATCTTTGGATTAAATAAAAGATTAATATTAAAAGTGGAGTTGAGGAAAGATTGATGTTGTTTATATGAGACAATATGTTGACAGAAAGCCTTTACATATTTTTAAGGATTGTCCTTTTAATGTGATTTTCACTATAATTTTAAGATTTAATTGTAAAAGGAATACGTCTTTGACAGCGATTCAAGGGGGCAGTATCACTCAGACTAAGGAAGAGAAACAAAAATATTCACCAAAAAAAAAACTACTAGACACATATGTCAAAGTTTTACAATGGCATTAGCGTTTTTCAGTTAAAATACAGCATTAATTTGAGGGGTATATGTATTGCAACCATTTTTCTAAAATTTAATTTGTTAATATTTTATTACATTTCTACAATTTTGGTAAACAATTTTCTGAAACCATAAGTAAAGTACTTAAAATTTGGTATAAACTTTCCTTACGGTTTATATAATGATTAGTTCAACTATTCAATGGAAATTTGTCAGTGTTCTTAAGAATGTATTAAATAAAAACAAATATACTTGTTAATGGTACAATAAAATAAAAATTACTCAATTTAAAAGGATATATTTGATAGTGGTAGAATCACAAATGTACTGAATTAACACTGATTGGTATTCTAGTGATAAGCTTCACCACGTGATCAACCAGAACGAAAAAAACAAACTCACGGCATTTTACCTTTGTGTTGCAGGTGAGTACAAAACCTCACCTAGCTTTTGTTCACACAGGTCTCTCTTACCTGTCTGTCTATACAGGTACACCCCTCCCCACCCACCGCCCCATCTTTCACTAACACATCACTTCTGTTTCCAGGTGTAGGGCTTTTAAATTCCCCCCCCCCATTCCTCCCCCTCTCCATGACGTGTAGCCGATGACGTCTGTTTCTCTAGTGTGGTAACGCCCCCCCCCCTTGTGAATCAAATCTTTCACCCCAGTCCCATCAAAATATACTTCCGTGCTGTTTTAATGCTATTTATTGCTCAAGGGAGGTTAATCTGAAAAATGTTTTTTTACGGTTCGCGCAATTTTAGGCTTACATTCTTTTTGTCAATGAGATAAGTTAATTCTCTTTAAAGAGGTATGCTAATTCCCTTTAAAGACGTAAGTTAATTCCCTTTAAAGAGGTAAGTTAATTCCCTTTATAAAAACAATAGCTTAAATTCTTATTGTTTCTGGTTCGCCTTTTTTACTTTCTCGTATATACGAAGTATAGAGAAAGTCTTGTAATCACTAGCGTCTCACTACCTCACCGTATCTCACTACCTCAGCGTATCTCACTCATTCAGAATACCTCACTACCTCACCGTATCTCACTACCTCAGCGTATCTCACTCATTCAGAATACCTCACTACCTCAGCGTATCTCACTCCTTCAGCATACCTCACTACCTCAGCATATCTCACTACTTCAGTGTACCTCACAACCTCAGCGTATCTCACTACCTGAGCGTATCTCACCTTCTCATAGTCCCGTAGACACGCTGCTGCCTTAGCCATACCCCCCAACACCTCCACCTGCCCCAGCCTGTCTCCGATCTCGGACATAATGCTGGAGGCTGACTCGTACCTCGGGCTGGCCCTCTGTGGAGCAAAAGTTTGGGGGCTAATTAGCTAATTAGTGTAGTAGGAGCAAAAGTTTGGGGGCTAATTAGCTGACTCGTACCTCGGGCTGGCCCTCTGTGGAGCAAAAGTTTGGGGGCTAATTAGCTAATTAGTGTAGTAGGAGCAAAAGTTTGGGGGCTAATTAGCTGACTCGTACCTCGGGCTGGCCCTCTGTGGAGCAAAAGTTTGGGGACTCATTAGCTAATTAGTGTAGTAGGAGCAAAAGTTTGGGGGCTAATTAGCTGACTCGTACCTCGGGCTGGCCCTCTGTGGAGCAAAAGTTTGGGGGCTAATTAGCTGACTCGTACCTCGGGCTGGCCCTCTGTGGAGCAAAAGTTTGGAGGCTAATTAGCTAATTAGTGTAGTAGGAGCAAAAGTTTGGGGGCTAATTAGCTGACTCGTACCTCGGGCTGGCCCTCTGTGGAGCAAAAGTTTGGGGACTAATTAGCTAATTAGTGTAGTAGGAGCAAAAGTTTGGGGGCTAATTAGCTGACTCGTACCTTGGGCTGGCCCTCTGTGGAGCAAAAGTTTGGGGACTCATTAGCTAATTAGTGTAGTAGGAGCAAAAGTTTGGGGACTAATTAGCTAATTAGTGTAGTAGGAGCAAAAGTTTGGGGACTAATTAGCTAATTAGTGTAGTAGGAGCAAAAGTTTGGGGACTAATTAGCTAATTAGTGTAGTAGGAGCAAAAGTTTGGGGGCTAATTAGCTAATTAGTGTAGTAGGAGCAAAAGTTTGGTGACTAATTAGCTAATTAGTGTCGCCTCTGTGGACAGGAGCAAAAGTTTTGGGGACTAATTAGCTAATTAGTGTAGTAGGAGCAAAAGTTTGGGGACTAATTAGCTAATTAGTGTAATAGGAGCAAAAGTTTGGGGCTAATTAGCTAATTAGTGTCGCCTCTGTGGACAGGAGCAAAAGTTTTGGGGACTAATTAGCTAATTAGTGTAGTAGGAGCAAAAGTTTGGGGACTAATTAGCTAATTAGTGTCGCCTCTGTGGACAGGAGCAAAAGTTTTGGGGACTAATTAGCTAATTAGTGTAGTAGGAGCAAAAGTTTGGGGACTAATTAGCTAATTAGTGTAATAGGAGCAAAAGTTTGGGGACTAATTAGCTAATTAGTGTCGCCTCTGTGGACAGGAGCAAAAGTTTTGGGGACTAATTAGCTAATTAGTGTAGTAGGAGCAAAAGTTTGTGGACTAATTAGCTAATTAGTGTCGCCTCTGTGGACAGGAGCAAAAGTTTGGGGACTCATTAGCTAATTAGTGTGGTAGGAGCAAAAGTTTGAGGACTAATTAGCTAATTAGTGTAGTAGGAGCAAAAGTTTGGGGACTAATTAGCTAATTAGTGTCGCCTCTGTAGACAGGAGCAAAAGTTTGGGGACTCATTAGCTAATTAGTGTGGTAGGAGCAAAAGTTTGGGGACTAATTAGCTAATTAGTGTCGCCTCTGTGGACAGGAGCAAAAGTTTTGGGGACTAATTAGCTAATTAGTGTAGTAGGAGCAAAAGTTTGGGGACTAATTAGCTAATTAGTGTCGCCTCTGTGGACAGGAGCAAAAGTTTGGGGACTCATTAGCTAATTAGTGTGGTAGGAGCAAAAGTTTGAGGACTAATTAGCTAATTAGTGTAGTAGGAGCAAAAGTTTGGGGACTAATTAGCTAATTAGTGTCGCCTCTGTGGACAGGAGCAAAAGTTTGGGGACTCATTAGCTAATTAGTGTGGTAGGAGCAAAAGTTTGAGGACTAATTAGCTAATTAGTGTAGTAGGAGCAAAAGTTTGGGGACTAATTAGCTAATTAGTGTGGTAGGAGCAAAAGTTTGAGGACTAATTAGCTAATTAGTGTCGTCTCTGTGGACAGGAGCAAAAGTTTGGGGACTAATTAGCTAATTAGTATAGTAGGAGCAAGAGTTTGGGGACTCATTAGCTAATTAGTACTGTTAATGTTTATAAGAGAAAGAGTTATTAGTGGAGTAAGCTAAGACACAGGTGATCTATATTAGCAAAAGAGACCCCCCCCCCTTACATGTATATAAGACCCTACACGACTTACAACCAAAACACCCTACACGACACACCACCTTACCTCTATATAAGACCCTACACGACACACCACCATAAGACCCTACACGACACACCTCCTTACCTCTATATAAGACCCTACACGACACACCTCCTTACCTCTATATCATTCCGCTTCCGGTGAATGTCGGCGAAGAGATACAGACACCGCGCCTGAACGGGTCTGTCATTGAGACGCATGGCTAACTGCATCGCATCCTGTAACAGACATAAAACTATTACATCCACATCTCTGACAGACAACAAAAAACAACAACAACAAAAAAAAAACAATTACAAAATTACAATTACATCGTCGTATACGCTGGGGAAGGGTAGGGTAGAAATGGAATGAATATCAGTGAGATAACTCATAACTGACGTCAGTTCCGGCCAAATCGAGGACTGTATCCTGCCAGGTAAATTGATTGTGTAGCAGCGCCCCCTGGCTTTGGGAGAAACTGAACGAAATGATAGATGAGCATGCGCATTTACGCGAAGTGATGTCTTGGTTGCGGAGGAAATCAGATTGTGTTCTCTTTTATAGTTTTTTGTACAGAGCTTACTTATTTAGTCATTAAACTTGATAATCAAAATTATGTTTTTTTAATATGGTTATAATTTGCTAAAAATATAATGTTACGAATTTATACATAAAAATGTTTTCTAATTAGTTCAATTTTAATTCGTTACGTTAAAATTTTACAGTTTAGAAAATAACTCTTGCTGCTGCAAACTTTCGCACCGTTTTTTTTAACAATCGTTGGGAGAAAGGGGGGAGGGGGGATCACTCTCACTTAACTGCACGCGCAAAACATTAAAGTGAGGCTATTTTTAGACGAGGGGAGATTTAATCTAGAGAAACCAACATGGAGTCTGGCACCACAGAAGTCGTACGGGTATGAATGGAGCTGAGTCAAACATGTGTAAACATACAGCTCATTATGTGGGGCTGGAATCATTTCTCTCCGTGTGCTTTTTAGATTTTGTCTGTATACATATATAGGACATATACACATATCTATATATCTGTATATCTTTATATCTATATATCTATATATTTATATATCTATATATCTATATCTATATGTCTATGTCAATATATCTATGTGTCTATATGTCTATGTCTTTATGTCTCTATATGTATATATCTATATCAGAGTTTCTTCCAGGCATCTCTTCGTCCCCTCGAAGAAAGTCTACCGCCCCCCTCCCCGAACGAAATGGAATTTATATAGAAAACATATACTTTAAACAGTGTCCGTTCCCCCCCCCCCCCCCGAAAATTTCAAGTGCCCCCTCCCCCCCCCCCCCCCCCCAGGAGAAAAAAGTCTGCAAGAAACACTGATCTATATATCTATATATCTTTCTATATATCTATACATCTATACATATATATATATCTATATATCTTTATATCTTTATATCTATATAAATGTTGTATATGCATAGTGCTAACTACAAAGTCCCTGTATATTATTAAGAAAATAGGCTCAAAAAGACTGCCCAAAAGACTTTTGTTTCTGAACCATGTTTTACAAATTTTACCCAAATTCCTAGTGTAGCTTATCGTTTTCATGTCACGATCTAGACAGTTATTTACTAATTATAAAGATGGTTCACCCATTCAATCTACTACCGCCGGGGATCATGGCCCTGATATCCCCACAGAAATACTCTGGCAGCGGTCAAGCTAAATCACCCACCTCACAGCTGTCCATAGCCTCCGAATACCGGCCCATCTTCTTGACGGCCGTTGCTATGGAGACGGAGACCTGCCGGCGGTACTTGAGGTTGGGGTCATCGTCCATGAGGTCACCTATGAGGTCCATGGAGTTGTTGCAGTAAGCGATGCAGCTCTCGTAGTCCCCCAGGCAGCTGGCAAAGATAAAGTTCTTTAGTAGAGTCGAGACAGACCAAGGCGGCGCGGATTAGCACTTTGGGCGGTGTGAATTAGTACTTGGGGTGGCGCGGATTAGTACTTGGGGTGGCGCGGATTAGTACTGGGGGTGGCGCGGATTAGTACTGGGGGTGGATGCCTGGAAGAAACTCTGTCAGCTGGGAACAGCTACACATCTAGGAGAGACAACTACACAATCATACAGCTGCTGCCATGTAGTTTGGGGCTACGGAAGCAAATCCAGAATGCACTTTTATTAATATGTCAATAACTACGCGAGGAGAACCGTAGACGCTTCTCGACTTACGCTACGATCGATAATTTATAGTTACGATCGATAATTTATAGCTACGATCGATAATTTATAGTTACGATCGATAATTTATAGTTACGATCGATAATTTATATTCTACACAAATGCAGGAATTCCGGTTCACAACTATTGCTAACAGTTTTAATAATTATTTGCAATTGATTTTATGTATGGCCAATGCTTTTATGTATATTTATCCAAGCATTGGTGCAGAATTATTTTATAAAACAATTTAAAGCAAATTAGTAACCTTCAATAAATGCACTAAAAGAATACAAAATGATTTTCTAATTAACTATCTATAAAGAAAAACGTCGCCTTAAAATTATTGAGGGTATTTAATAAAATAATACAGCGATTCAGGTTCAAATGACGGTGATCTACTAGATCGCGGTCTACTTCCCCTTCAATAATTAATCAGCAAGGGAAATAACAGGATTCCGATTTTTAAAAAAATCGTAAACACAGAGAGAAATTCAACAGCAAACAAAATTTATAAATTGAGATATTGCTTATTACTTTACTTTACATGAATATTAAACGTTTATACGAATCTTTGTCTTATTACTATACTGCAAAGAATTTAGAATTATTATTGAACTCTAAATTACGTAAACAAAACTATAAGCTTTATTAAAACTTAATATCTAAAATAATTAAATCGAAAAATTTACGATGTTTCTATCGACATACATATGCAGTAGTAAAACTTATTCTTGAATTTATCAAACATATTGTAAATTAAATAAAAAAAAAATATCCATTTTAAATTAAATACAGATTTGTCAAGCACAGATTTAACGATGATATAACCGAGTTTTGATGTAGAGGGGGTAGGGGTTCAGAATTTTGATGACGAGGGGGTAGGGGTTCAAAACTTTGAATAACGAAAGGTAGTGTTAGCAAGTTAGAAACTGAGCTGTAGTAGTTATTTCGAGTTATTAAAAGACAATTTTTAAAAATACTATTAAAAATTGAAGAGAATGCTTATATTTAATGTTGACAGAGCTCAGTATAATAAAAAACAGTAAAAGCTCAGTAAAAAAAACAACAAAGAGGTTAATTTTGAAGGGATTTGGAAGCTGATGTGTGATTGCATTTTGGGGAGGGGCTCTAGATTTGAGTGACGATGTGTGTGACGTTGAGCAGGGGGGGGGGGGGTAAAATCTATTTTAAAAATTGTGATTTCGTTTATCGATGACCCTTTACTAAAATTGTATTAGCGAGGTTTTTTTTTTATAATTAGTGATGCATAATGATATATTTCAAGAAAAATGATGTTTTCTTGTACGTTTTTTATTATATATATATATATATATATATATATATATATATATATATATATATATATATATATATATATATATATATATATATATATTGCAAATTGTTTAATTATCTAATACATTAATAACCCGAAATAAATTTTCAAGAAAGCGATAAATAAAAGTCATAATCTAGTTTTTATGATTACATTACATATTTAATTAACACGACAAAATAAAAAAAATATATATTTGAACAGCTCTTTGAGAGTACACCACATACGATGCCCCTTCCATCAAAGATAAACACTACCTGTCCCAGCTTAATTAATTGTTATGTTGTTTCTTATTGTTCCATCTTGTGACGCCTTTCTTAAGTGCACGTTCTGTGTTTTCATTTGTTTCGTGTGTTAATTCTATTTATACTTTTAATTTCTCCTCTTCCATCTTCTTTTCATTTAGAAAGGTACTTAAAAAACAACAACCCAATAACCTTTCAACATTTTCCAAACGCGGGTCTTTACTGTAGCCGTTGTTTCCAGATTGTTTTATTCGATGTTTTTTTTTTCAAAATCAGTTTGGAAGGTCAAACAAAGTGATACGCTTGCAAGAGGAAAACAGAGGCAGTTGACGAAATCCGACGAAAACCGAAACGAATGTTTCATAGAGAAAAAAAATAGAAACCACACCTATTCTCTCTATGTCTCTCTCTCTCTCTCTTTCACTCACTCACACACACACACACAAAACAAACACACCGACAAAACACACACACATACGCACACAACACACACGCACACACAACACATACACACACAAAACACACACACAAAACACACATACACACTCACACACACACATACACAAAAAACACACAAAACACACACACACACGTACACGCGCAAACACGCACACTTACGCACACACATACACACACACATATATATAGTTAAGTTTTCTTTTCTTTTTGTTATGTTTTTCAACATAAAGTTCCTGACATATTACGTACACATGTGTTCCAGAAATGTATGCCTACCCTTCACGTAATATTTCTTCATTTGTAAAAGAAAAAAAAAATCTCCCTGAAAAAAATTATATAAAATACTCTTTGCCAAAATAAACACGTTTTGAAGTAATTTTTACCAAATGGTATTTAAAGAAATAAGATGACTTTTTTAGAAGACATTTTTAAAAATTGAAGCTAGCTTGTCTAACTAGGGGCCTATCTTTTCCCCCCTTTCACTTTTCCTTTAGCAAATAGTTTAAATACCGATAAAATTGTAGTGGCACTGGTTTGAAAGACCATGTAACGAACACATTTTGTTTGAACAATTTTTCAAAACAAATGTTCAGTTAGAGAATATGGGCGATAGAAGGGCAGACAATGTATATATTTTGATAGGAGAGTTATTTTGTAAATTGGCTATTAAAGAGTTCGGTGGTAGATGGGGGCAGGGGCGTAGCGAGGGGGGGCGGGGGGTGCGGACCGCACCGGGTGACACCATTTAGGGGGGTGACACCAAGGCAAAAAATAGCAAAATATATAGAGAAAAACTTGAGGGGGGGGGTGCAAATTGAAAGTTTGAGGGGGGGGGGGGTTGCAAATCGAAAACTTGAGGGGGGGGGGGTGCAAATCGAAAGTTTGAGGGGGGGGGGGGTGCAAATCGAAAACTTGAAAGTTTGTCCCCGGGAAGGGTCGCAACGCCTCTGGGGGGGGGGGGGGGTGACACCATTAAGTGCCGCACCGGGTGACACCCGACCTCGCTACGCCACTGGATGGGGGCACTGGTAGAAGTAGTACTCTCTCGAATATTCTTATATAAAACAACAGGGGATGGGAACTCGGGCTATAGACATAATTTTTAATCCATTTTAAATACTTAAAGTTTTAAAAATAGAATAAAATCTCGTAGACAAAAGAATTTCACACCAAGTGAACGCCAAATAAAAAAGTGCACAATAGTGCGCAATATTATTAGTACTTTAAAAATTTACATTAGTTTTTTGAGAAATCGGAAGTAGCGTAAATTACTACTTCCGGTCAACGGAAATTACTCAAAATTTAACAGAAGGTAGAGAATTAAATCTTTTACTTACATGTGAAATTTCATTTATCTATCTGAAATAGTACTCAAGTTATAGGCTTTTGAAAAAATTTTAAGTAGAAAAAGTACCACTTCCGGTTATCGGAAATCGCTCAAAAGTTGATACGGATCTACGATTTTGATAAAATACTTATATATGAAATTTCATCAACCTAGCTGTAACGGTACTCAAATTATCGTGTTTACACACGGACAGACAGACACACAGACATACGGACAGAATTGCAAAGCCCAGTTTTTCAGACTGGATTACGCATAAAACCTCTTAATTTTGATAAATCTGGATTGATAATTTTTGCCCGATTAAAATAAGTCCTCAATACTTCGGATGTGATGAAGGACTGAGGTGTAATACGGTGAAAATTGTTAAAATTTCTAGTGATTTTTGTGCACGATTACAATACTTTCTCTATACTTCGTATATACGAGAAAGTAAAAACAGACGCATTGATTTGTTCAGTGTTTGATTTAGTATTGATTTAATGAAACGTATTTGATAAAACAAAAAAACACATTTAAATAACCAGCACCAAAAAAAAATAACTTTCTCACTGTAGAGTATGATCCGATTAATGTCTGCTTCTCAAATCTGGTTCTGTGTCGGTTTAGATAACGAAACATCGTTTTTTTTTCTCCAGTTGACCAATGGCTTCTGGCTACTTTCTCGCACTTTAGCCAGGCAGACTGGATCAGGGTTGAGGAAACACGTATTTCTCTCAACAAGGGACTGCGGTCTTGACCCCGAACCTGTTACTTTTAGATTTACAAGCTCGTGTTCTACCGCTAGACCACGCCGTCCCTAATCACTGATTGTTATCTTAATGGTTTTATACGGACCAGTTATGGTGAGACGAGACTATTTGCATTAAAACAGCAGTAAAATCTTTTTAATACCCTGCTGTAAATTACAGCAACTGTTTATATATCCACTACATACCAAAAGTAATAAAGAAATCCAGGAAAGGATCTCTAATTGTCCCATTGAGAATATACCGAGCATAGTCAAACCAAGAAAAGTTATTTGGTATGGGCATGTCACACGACCAAACAGCCAATCACTATCCACAACAATATTGCAAAGCACTGTGTCAGCAGGGAGAAGAAAGGGAAGAGAAAGACGACATTGGATGGATGACGTCAAGGATTGGACAGGGTTGACCGTCTCAAAACTAATCAAAGAGGTAGAGGATAGAGATGAAAGGCGGAAATTATAAGGTCAACTGCGGTGCCACAACGACCCCAATAAGGCAAGGGTTAAGCGATGATGATGATGATGGTGATGATGATGATGATGATGAGGATGATGATGAAGAGGATGATGATGATGATGATAATGATGATGATGATGATGATGATGATGATGATGAGGAGGAGGAGGATGAGGATGAAGAGGATGATGAGGATGATGATGATGATGATGAGGATGATGATGATTATGATGTTGATAATGAAATACCAAAAAATAGTAAAATTCCCAGCCACCAAACAAACTTACCGGGATCTAAACTAGATACTTTCGGCTATCACTGAACCACCCGTCCCACCCACATAAACGTCTCTAATCTAGAACTCACCAAAACAAGGCTCCCATCTTGGCAGACGTCAGAATCTCCAACAGCTTATCCCCGCTCAGCTTAGCCTCGTCCATAGCCAAGACGTAACTATTCCACGCTTTCAGAAACTCGCTGGTACCACAGTAGGCGTTGCCTATACACAAATTTATATATCCTAAAAACGGAGACTTGGTCGGATGGGTCAACTGGGAACGTTTACTGTAAGAAATGGCTTTACTGAACTCGCACGATTTCTCATTGCACAACGCCAGATGAAAAAACGCTTCGGATTTCAGCACCGGGTCGTTGATAGAATTCGCCAGCTCGCATTGTTCGCCAGCGTACGTCAACGCTTCTCGAAATTTCCCCACGTCGCAAAGAGCCAGGCATATCCGGCCGCTGAGGGTGAACTTCTCCTCCGGTTTTTTCATCCTCTTCAAGACTTTCCTCCACTCCTCCACGGCCTCGTCGAAGCGCTGATCCATGTAGAACTTCTCTCCCCGGGCCAGTTCTTTCTTCGCCATGTTCTGACCCATGGCGAGACGAAATGCCTGGACGGGTTAAACCATCACTCCAAAACCAGCGTACCACGTGATCACTGCTGGGGTGACATTGCGAAAGTGAAAAAAAAGAAAATCTGTGAAGAAAATAGAAACAATATTTAGCTAAGTGAATCAGTTATGTAAGGTTGCAAATATTATTTGGGATTACGTACTGTTGCTGATATGAAGTTGTACATGCGATTACATGTGTTCATTTTCGTCCTTGACCATTTCTTATAAGGAATCATGTGTCCAATACTATTTTAAATGGTAACTAAATTCCCAGATTTCAACATTCTACCAAGGCTTTAACAGACTATCCAGAGTTGCACAACTACCCAGAATTTATACAACTACCCAGAATTTCTATAGCTACCCAGAATTTCTACAGATACCCAGAATTTCCATAGATACCCAGAATTTCCACAGATACCCAGAATTTCTACAGCTACCCAGAATTTCCACAGATACCCAGAATTTCCACAGATACCCAGAATTTCTACAGCTACCCAGAATTTCCACAGATACCCAGAATTTCCACAGATACCCAGAATTTCTACAGCTACCCAGACTTCCAAAGCTACCCAGACTTCAGACATCTTTATAGACTTCAGCCCTTTATACAGACTTCAGTTAACTGCACTAACTTTTAAAGTTACTAAGCAATTTTTTTTCTATTCGCAATTTCGCTAAAATGTTTACATTATTTACCAAAAAAACAACACTAATAATTCATGTATAATATATTCACCTTCTACACCGAATAAAAACACCTAAACAAGTATTGTCATCCTAGCTCCGTCGAGCCAAGAATCGCAACGTGTGCGCAGCAGGTTACACCGCATCAAAACGTGTCCGTGCTGATAGACCGGGGCGGTAATTGTTTGTGATTTGTGCAGGCTGACTTCGTTTCTGTACGGTGTTTTGAGCGGCACGTGACAGGACGTGACGTCCATCACCTGTCGGGATGCGTCTTTGTGGTGGCGCTGATGTAAACATTTGTCTGCACGTGACGTTTCGCCGTCTGCACACAGGTGTTGGCCAATTATTGATTTGCATGCTCGGCTGCTACACGCGTTGCATGTTTTGTTTTGGTCTGTGGTCGTTAATTTAAGGTCTCGTGTGTAAGGGAGGGGGGCATTCCCTAAAGGACGTCGCATGCTGGAGAGAAAGGGGGAGGGGAGGGCTGTGTTTTTCTGATGTGTCTCTTGTAAATTTTAGGAAGCCGGACACTGGTTAAAATATACTTTTTAATGTATGTTTTTCTATTTCGTCCGGGGTGACGTGGGATTGGGGTGGGGACGGTAAAATGTGCTTTGGGGCCATAGCCCCCCCCCCCCCCAAGAGATCCCCAAAAGATACATTTTTGTGAAAATATGTAACATAAAGAAAGGGGGGTGGGGTGGAGTTACAACACAAAGTTACATTTAAAAAAACATTTTTTTTTGCAGATTTTTTTTGAAGTATGAATTTTGTTTATTGTTTATTGTAAATAAAAATCATTAACTTGACCAAGCTTAATTCATATTTTAAAAATAAACTACAGTATCAAAACTTTAAAGCCGCATTTTAGAAGTTGGAGTAGGCTGGAGTGTGATGTCATTTTATGGGGGAGGGGGGCTGGGCAGTGTTTCTTCCAGACTTTTTTCTCCGGGGTGGGGGGGCACTTGAAATTTTCGGGGGGGGGGCGGTAGACTTTCTTCGGGGGAGCGGACACTGTTAGAAGTATATATTTTCTATATAAATTATATAAATTTCATTCCGTTCGGGGTGCGGTAAAAAATTTTCGGGGGGGCTTAGCCCCCCCGAAGAGATGCCTGGAAAAAACTCTGGGGCAGGGAAGAGGCGTAGCGACCTATTCCGGCGTCCGGGGCAAAGTATAAATGTTGAGCACCCCTATTCAAACGTTGGCAAAAAAAGCGCCCCCTCCCCCCACACACATCATACATAAACCAATTCAGGAAATCAGTCTTTAAAGCCATAGTGATCTATTTTCTTAAATTTGACTGTACAGAATGAGCTTTTTATTTTTTTCCACCCCGTTTGGCCCCTTCTTGGGTCAGCTTCCGGGGCTACCGCCCCACCTGCCCTCCCCTAGCTACGCCTCTGAGGGGGAGGGGTGGTATTTTTGTGATATTTGACGATTTGAGGTGGTGTGGGATCATATAAAACAGCTTGAAGTCACTTAATGACGCCCCCCCCCCCCCCATCATATGTAAATTAAATAATAAAAACAAAAATCATGTAATTAATTAGTTAATTAATTAATTTAAATTAGTGTTGGTTAATTAAGTTTAAAATTGATATGGTGTTGTGCTAGTAACGTGTTTGAACCACTGGCATTCGAGCGAGCAATAGGTTACCAAATTCACAATCAATATTAGTGTAATTAAAATAATATTACCCCCCCCCTCCCTCCCCGGTTAAAATTACTCCCGGTCATTTAGAGATAGATATAGCGATATGAAGAGGTTAAGGACAAGTTAGGTATACGAGTATGGTCACAGCGCGTTTACACTTGCGACATGTATACCATACACACGTCTAGAAAAAAACTCACATTAAGTTAGAATACTTGTTCCGCGGGGTAAAATGTTTTCATATAGATTATAGATCTAACCTAAACTAGCTGTGAGTTTTTTTTTAACGCAAGACTAAGGAACGTCGTCTACAGATAACATCACCGGTTACAAAGAGAGCGGATATCTTCCAGAAACTTATCTAAAGCTAATATTTTATTGAGCTAATGTATAGGGCCTTAACATATAATCATCTGATTTGATGTTTTTACTGTTCATTCTGATGAAGAGATCAAGTCGAAACATCAATTTACTTGATCATGTTTCAGTATTTGATATTTTAAAATTATAATTAAATGCTCATCACAAGTTGTGTTCCTACTACACAACTACTCACCAGCTACCCTTCAGTGACCCCCACAACCACTACCTACAACACCTTTAGTCCACAACCACTACCTACAACACCTTTACCCCACAACCACTACATACAACACCTTTAGTCCACAACCACTACCTACAACACCTTTAGTCCCCAACCACCACCTACAACACCTTTAGACCACAACCAACACCTACAACACCTTTACCCCACAACCACCACCTACAACACCTTTAGTCCACAACCACCACCTACCACACCTTTACCCCACAACCACTACCTACAACACCTTTAGTCCACAACCACCATCTACAACACCTTTAGTCCACAACCACCACCTACAACACCTTTACCCCACAACCACCACCTACAACACCTTTACCCCACAACCACCACCAACAACACCTTTACCCCACAACCACCACCTACAACAACGTTAGTCCACAACCACCACCTACAACACCTTTAGTCCACAACCACCACCTACAACACCTTTACCCCACAACCACCACCTACAACAACGTTAGTCCACAACCACCACCTACAACACCTTTAGTCCACAACCACCACCTACAACAACGTTAGTCCACAACCACCACCTACAACACCTTTAGTCCACAACGACCACCTACAATACCTTTAGTCCACAACCACCACCTACAACAACGTTAGTCCACAACCACCACCTACAACACCTTTAGTCCACAACCACCATCTACAACACCTTTAGTCCACAACCACCACCTACAACACCTTTACCCCACAACCACCACCTACAACACCTTTACCCCACAACCACCACCTACAACACCTTTACCCCACAACCACCACCTACAATACCTTTAGTCCACAACCACCACCTACAACACCTTTAGTCCACAACCACCACCTACAACACCTTTAGTCCACAACCACCACCTACAACACCTTTACCCCACAACCACCACCTACAACACCTTTACCCCACAACCACCACCTACAACACCTTTAGTCCACAACCACCACCTACAACACCTTTACCCCACAACCACCACCTACAACACCTTTAGTCCACAACCACCACCTACAACACCTTTACCCCACAACCACCACCTACAACACCTTTACCCCACAACCACCACCTACAACACCTTTAGTCCACAACCACCACCTACAACACCTTTAGTCCACAACCACCACCTACAACACCCACAATCACTCCCATAACTATTTTCAACTGCCGCACACTTACCCGACAACTACCCCCCCCCCCCCCCCCCCACACACACTCCTCCAATGAGCTCAAAGATTTGATACACGACAAGCCTCCCCATGTTCACACCTACACGAGACAACAACAAACAACCCAAGACATGCTGTTAGAGGTACGTCATCAGATAAGATCTCCATCTTGTTGCAACGTCTTTCATTATCACCGGCATGGTGCGTTTATCTACTAAACAATGTTACTTTATGTTTTCTTTCTTTAAAAAACAACTAAAGGAAAGTGCAAAACAGACCACACATCTAGCTAACGTAAACGTCAATCATTAATTCATTTAAAAAGCGAAATTGAAATTTACGTCCCACCTACATTTTGGGTTATAGACTTAAAGAGGTTGTAATTTTGTTTTGTTTTTCTTTATAAACACTAACTCATCCTTTTAAAACAAAAGCTGAAACTTCTCAAAGACGTTTAAATTAGAAATCATTTATTTTCTACTCAAAATAGTAGTAACTACCTGATAGAAGACAAGGGAGACAAATTTCTAGAGATCTAGTTGATCTGACTGGAAGCTATCATTTACAGTAGAACCATTACAAAGCAGTTCGCTATTAGTTGAATTATTTTGAATTAAATATGTTTATAGTAACGTATTTTTTTCAGCTAATCTGTACATTAAAATTTGTTTTTTAAAAAAGCATATACAAAAAGAAAAAAATGTTTAAAAGTGTATGAAATTAAAAGGTTAATAATTTAACGAAATCATTCAATATTGCTGCATATTCGCCGACCACGAACTAAAAGATTTATTAGAAAACATAGGAAGCCCACCACGCACGCCGAAAAAAAAATCCCTTGAATCAGCATTTAATTAAACATTTGCATTTTCAGTTTCAGGTTGG